CAATTTTTTTTCAGTGGAACTTCAATTGATTAGGATACGACATGGAAGAAAAAATCATAATAATTTTCAAGAATCTAGAATTTTTTAGAACTCCTTGAGGGATTTTTTTCGGAATTTTCCTTTTGGGAAATTTTACAGTTTCGGAAATGATTTGATAAAGTTTGAAAAATTGTACATCAAGATGAAAAATTAGTTCTTAATTCAAAACAGTAAAAATTATTGAATTTTCGAGAAATAAACGGCTTTAAAAATCGAACAAAAGTGTTTCAATTTTAGACACTGGTTTCTCCCATTAAAAAATATATTTAAAAAACATATAATATGGGCCAATTTCATATATTTCCCAAATTTATAAAGAATATTGAAAAAAAAAAAACATCTATTTTATGTATCTTTTTATATAAATTGGGACAATTTACGTTGTTTGTTAATGATATTTTTCAAAACATGAATTTTTCCGTGCGGGTTTTTTAGTGCAACCTTACGACCACGTTCGCATGAATTTATTTCTACGCGAAAAATTATTCCCAATATTAATTTTCAATAAAAAAATCACTAGAATTGCTAATCACGAGCTCAATTACGCGTCACATCATGATTTTCCCATTGGGATCTTTTGCCCGCCGAATGATCCATCCTCGGAACACTGGCACATCAACAATCAATTATTAACGTAATTATTTCGCCGTTGGTTTGGTGTCTGCCAATTCCGCAACCGGTCTTGTTTACCCGCGGAGGACGATTCGGATAACAGTCTTTGGCAATGGCGGGCCCCGTCGGGGCGCAATCGATCATACATGACGGCATAGTGATCGGTTAATCGTGAATATTGGGGAGGAAATTTCGCTCTGGACGAATTCGTCGCCTGTTACCATGTGCAAACTATGGGAGGGAAGCACATCATCATCTACAAACATTATTGATTTTCCGAGGGTAATTGGCCGGCGTGTTTCATTCCGTTGATCATGCCACTTTCGAAAACCAATTATCATCAAAGCTGCTGCTGCAAATATGAATGGGGTAAAAATTTACCAGTGTGATTGGCGGGAAGTGTGTGGGGAAAAATTCTAAAATTGTTGTTGGGGGTTGATCAACACCATTAAGACATAAAATCAGAAGCGAAACGGTAAAACGGTTCAAGTCAACTTGGCTCTCGTCTGAGTTTTCGAGCAATTACTGCGAATCTAAGGGACATAACGCAATTTTTGTAATAACCTTTTTTATAGGAAGGATTGAAAGCTACCGAAAAGGCTATATAAAAATTTTGCTATCGCCCTTAGATTCCGAGATATTCATTGACTTAAAGTAGTATATCAAAAATCCACGTAAATCGTTGAGTGTAGTGAGGGAAAATAAATTAAATATTCTCTCTGCAATTATTTTCTTAAGCAATAGCTGCTCGTTTGAGTAGAGTATCCTGAACATTCGGGATACTCAGAAATATAAATGATTTACCGCAAAAGTTTGGTCCTGAAGATAATTTTCGTATTAGGCATAAGATTTTTATTTATTCTTATCAAATTCTTCAAGATTTTTTTCTACATTTTAATCTCCTGTCTGATCTCGAAACATTCAGTTTCTCATGAGACTCTGTGTTATTTTGCTACTTCGGAATTAATTATTCTGAATAATACTAGATTGATAATTGAGCACGAGCTTAACCAAAAAGTTTTTATTCATATTAACTTCCGTTTAGTATTTATTTCAGATTTTTATTTTCAAAATTTAAGTCATGTTTATTATCCATTTTCTCTAAATTTATAGAAGACAACAAAATAGATGATTTATTGATCAATAGGACAACAACATGCCAACAGAATACCATGTGAATTAGTCTTTTCAAATTTTAAGATTTTTAACTTGAAGTTTTAAGAATAATTTTTAAACAACGAAAGGGAGCAACAATCTTCCGAAAATTCCCCCTTATATATTCTATAATCACATCAACCATAACAATTGAACCACAAACTGAGAGTCTCGCCTCTCCACGCCTCTGAATGAAAAAAAAAAATTATCTGACGAAATAAATCTCCCGAATAAACCAAAAAAGTTGGAATTGCAAATGAAGATTCCCCGCATCATTGAAATTTATTGTCCGCAAAGTATCCGATGGTTTATGCGTCTGGTTCCTGAGGTTTACACTGAGGGTGGCCCCGAGGTAAGAGATAACCATCCACCATCGATAACAGTTAGTGTTCGAACGAGCGTGCACTGGGTAATTTTCCAATAGGACGACAACGATGCAGCCGGGCGTCTTCCAGCCACTAGACCAGAAATGGAGACACTGAGCCAGGAATGCCGAGTGGCGAGGAACACATCCCCGGGTTTATTGACAAGTGGCCGATCGAGTCGCTCGTAAGACGGTGATAACCCACATTAAATACCTTTCGACAATTGTGAGAGTGGATTTGGGAGAATTAGGGGGATGTAACGATTGAACTGCGGGCGGTGGATTATGATCTCGGATCAGATGGCCCTTTGAGGGGGTTTTCTTATGGGGTAATTACCCATGAGCCTCGAGGGTATGGATAGGTTCCGAGAGTTACGCAAAATTCATGTCACCAGGAGCGCTCGTCATCGTTTAAAATGAGTGCAAAACATTCTAGGGGTCTTGGGTTGAAGTCCATTATGTCACATTTTTTTCAAGTGTATTTTCCTCAAAGGTTGACTACACACAAACAACATTCATGCATTTTGTCTCTTTAAATAGTACTAAATAATGTTTTTTTAAGAACTAAATAACAATTTTTTATCGAGGTTTTGTTTGAATTGAAAAAAATGTTTTTTTAATGTTAAGAAATCTTTATTTGATTCAAATAAATTCTTGATTTGTACCAAATAAAACCTTTCTTATATTAAGAATATTAAGTTAATGGCTTTGTTTGAATCAAACAAATTTGTTACGAAGGTCTTATATACTGGAGTGAAAACTGTAATCAAAAATTGGATCAGAATGATTCTAGAGAGATTAGATTCATACGAGCTTTTTCCACATAGTCCACGAATATTGTTGAAACAGACTTTTGAAATTCTATCGTAGAATACATGAAAATGCGACTTTCTAAAAATAAGGAAACTATTTATTTGAAGTGAACGAATTGATTATTCGCCTTAGCAAAATAATTCTTTTGAATAAGTAAATCGTTTGGTTAATATAATTAAATTCTATTTCGCGAAATAAATAAACAACGAATAAACTATTTTTATTTGATTCAAAACGACAATTTTTTTAGTGTAGAATAAATACTAGGATAACATATAAAACTTCGTGAATCATCTTGAATTAAAACAGAATAAATGTCCTTCCCATCAATCATTACCATTGAGACATATTTTTGTCCTTCAAGTCTTAAATTAAGACTTCAAGACACTATCATTCGGTATGTAAACAGTTTCCAACAATTTTCGTCCTCCATTTCCCTAAATATTCATCACCCCCTCGTTAATAAAAAAATCCTCCTCAAATGTTTTTTTACACCCGTATAAAATTATATCAATGTCTACAGTTCGCTCTTGAGACACCGATAAAAATGCATCGAGTGCAACGAAAATCCAACTCATGAAAGTCAAAATGTGCACGAGGTGTTATATAACGATCAGGGATTGTGAGAGAGGTTGGATTAAATGAGGAATAAAAAAGAAGCAGAAATGAAGGGGATAGGGATGTTTACCGATACACGAGGGCGTCTCCGTAAATCTCAACTTGTGTGAGATACCCCGTAAAATTTCCCGTCTCTATACATTGAGTCGCGCAGGCTGAGATGGTAAGAAAATGTTCTCGAGTTTGACACACTCAATGGTAAAAATAAAAATGTTATTGAGGTGCGCAATGTGAGAACGCTGGAGTAGAATATGTAATGGAAAATTCCGGGGATGTGTGGCACTCGGGAAAATGGAATAATTTTTCTCTAATGTCGTAAATCCATTCAGCCTTCTGGTTCAATAATTTTTCCCTTTGCGGGCTGTTGGAAAAAAAAAAGTTTCCACCGAGACATGATAATTTTCGTAGTGGTAATTGTTGTCGGGAAACATTTATGTCTTTCAGGTAAATATATTCATTCTACAGAGAATTATTGAGTAGTGTATATTTTTGTTTAATAAACACTTATAATTTCCATGGAACAAATTACAATTTCAAGAGGGAACTATAATTTTCTTGCCAAAAACTGTTATTGGCAAAACTAAATAATGTCAAGGGGACAATTTTTTTTGGGAAAAAAAAATTCTTTCCTCGTTAATGTATTCTTTCTGTGGTATAAACCTAAGGAGTTCTCCCGGATCAAATGATTGTTGTACAATAGATTACATTTTTCCTGCCAACGGTTCGCATTCTTCTAGGGATATTTCTGATTATCTCGACAAAAAATTAATTTTTGTGAAAGATATTAAATTTCCTTCTATCGAGTTGGTTAATTTTCCTCAATTAAATTTGTTCCACTCCATCAAATATTTTCACGTGGAACACATATTTTTTCAGCGGAGCTAATTTTTTCTCTCAGTGCAATGGTTATTTCTTCGCGAATTGCGATATCAAAAACAGTGTCTCAAATTAAGACATCAAAACATGAATTCGAATTATTCGGAGTGAAAAAATTGTATTTGAAAAACCGATTGCGCGATGGAGAACCGTTTCCCCGGAATTATATTAAAAATTTTGTCATTGAATTTCAACTTGACGGACCTAATGCAGACACTACAGTCTCTGTATTCGAATGAATCTGAGGGAGTCTGGCCTGTAATCATTCCCGAACAATGGTGGCCAGTATCATCCCCACGTGGTCTACATTCTGACATAAAGCAATCGTCAAGTACGTGAGAAATTACAGTCCGCAACAGGGATTCGCATTGGCAGTCATTGGAGCAGTCGCAGCCCCATCGACTCTAGCTCTGAAACTCCAGCTTTCGAAACGTAGATAATAAAAAAGAGTCTTCAGGACGTACAGCTATTAGTATCTGATATTTCTGAAACAATGACGAGGGATTCTCGAGGATTTACTCACCATCAGTGTCAATCTCTTCTAACATGGTGCGAAGTTCCTCTGTTCTTGCGAATTGTCCTAAACCACGCATTACTCTCCCAAGCTCTTCCTTCGTGATACTTCCGTCTCTGTCCTTGTCGAAGAGATTGAAAGCTTCTTCGAATTCTGGAAGATTGGAATGAAAAATCAATTCAAATGAAGTCAGTAATTGATGCAGAGAAAAATAATAGAAAAATCTAGTGGTTATAAAATCTTGATTGAAAACTATAAAAACTTGAGCCAAATCGAATTGATACTTGATTAAAATTCTAGTGATTCAAGTACATTTAAAAAAACTACTCTATTATAACTATTCGTCTCGCACTTTTTCCTCGATATAAAGTGAGAAAGTACTGAAAATCGAGTTCGTTTCACGATTACTTGAATTGTTCGGTAATTTTTGTCCAAATTAATTAATCGCTATTCAACTCAATTATAATTAAATTAAAAATCAACAAAATAGTGAACAAAATAAATACGTGAACTAACTAACGAATGAAAACTAATCTACAATGAAAAATTAAACGAAAACAAAGTTATAATAATGCAAATAATTCGTAAGATTCTTTTGTAATCATTATGTTATATTTTGGTTTTTGATTCTTGTATCTCAGGAAAATAAGAAATTGCTGCTAATCGAATCTAACTTCACACAGAAAAACCTAAACGTAATTTACGCTTAACGTCAATGTGACATCTGGTGACTTTTTCCTCATTACGTAATCTTAATTTTCAGTGATTTCGAGCGTCGTTTACGCTCCAACTTCAAGCGTAAAATGCGCTACAGACACGGAGAGAAATGTTCAGCAAAAATTACGGAATAATTCACGTAATCCGCAATGGGGAATCGTTTTCCGGCAATTTTTATAGGAATGGAAGAGAAGAAATCTGAAACGTTCAGTGAATTTTCAGGTTCACCACCGAACAAAGTACGAAATTGTCACGTAATTTTTCCCGAAGAAGTAAAATCTTACAGAAACTTGCCGACTTGTTATGCCTCCAAAATAAAAAATTATTGAATGTTCAACAATTTTTATGAAGCTGGTGACTTATTTCTACGTTTCGTTCCGTAAAATTTCTCAATCGTTGGGGAAAAATTACGTGTCCCCACAGCGGTGAGTTATCAGACGGGTGGTTAATTTTTACGGAACAAATCGTAGAATTTACGTGGCGATTCGTACAATTTCAGTTCCGACTCACACTTTTTATTGAATTTTACTTCGCTCACAGATAACGTTTCAAAGCGTAATTTTTCCTTTTTTTTCTGGTGATTTTTATTGAATTTTTCTCTCCGTGGAAAGCGCTAAAGACGACTTCTTAAGCGTAATTTGCGTTCACCTTTTTCTGTCTATCTTTTCTCGGTGTGCGTCACAAGAAAGCAGAAATTACCTTTCATTTGTGCTTTACTAATTGATGGCATTCTCTCGTCGAAACAAGTGGTGGAACCCCTGCGGGCATCCGGCAGTTCAAACAGCAAACTAGTAGTCAAGCGAGTTTGTCCACCAGAGGATGAGCCCGAAGCCATACCCCCTGATAACGCCGATGCATTACCCACAGCAATTGACGAATCGCATGCCGTTTCACACGTAACTTGAATAGTCTCACCAAAACTACACTCATCACCTCTTCTTCTCGCGCACAGCTGTTTATTACCCTCCGCCATATCACTCCCAATGTCACTCTGTCGTCTCTGATTGCTGGGCAAATGCTGCTGCCTTACCCCCGTCAACTTGTTCCCCTCATTCGTCACCGACGGCTTTCGGACATCCGGCCAAGGAACGTCGCTCACCGACGCCCTCGATGAACCACCATCCACCAACTCCTCCTCCCCCCCACTCCCACCCTCTGTGTCTTTACGTGTCTGAAATAATAATGGAGAAAGGGGAAAATGTTGGATTATCATTTGCAGTTGTGCCGGGGCTTTTGATTAAGTTCTATTGGTGATTGACGTTCATCCATTGGAGGAGGGAATTTTTATGAGTTCGATTCACTCGTCCGAGTTGTTATAACATGATTGAGTCATTTGTAAGCTCCCAATAGAGTTTTCATCGCGCCGGAAGGGCGGCGGAATATATTGTTTCGGAGAGAAAATGGAATTTTTTCTTGCTTGGGGAGTTAACTAGATGGAAATTTCGTACACCGAAGTGGTATAATTTTTTCTAGTGCGTGTACCTTTTTTTTGCTGTGAGGAATCGTCAATTTTGATCAATTATGGAAAAAAATGAAGCGGGGACAATATTAATTTAAACCGAGAACTTTGTGTAGAAAGATCTAATTATAGTTTTTTTCTATAAAATACACTCAGAAAAAAAACTGTTGCGAAAGAATTATTTTCTTGGGAAAAGAATTTATTTTTTTATGGGATTATTGGGTGACATATGACCTTGAATGAACTCCATTATTAACATTTATTAACATTTAGAATTATTCGAAATGATTTTACGTTAAGAAATTATTTTATTTTAAGAAAACCTCTAATTAGAAAAAATTAAAAAATAATGGTATTTATAACTCCTAAAAAAATTAATTCTTCCTGAAAATGAAAATGATTCCTTGACACACGTAATTCTTCTTCAGTAGTAGTGGAGTTTCAATGGAACATTTTCCATTGAAAAGAAAAATAAAGCCAGAAAAGTTGTTCGTTCTAGTAGGAAATTAATTTAAGTAATGAATCACTCACGACATTCCCTCACCGCGGTCTCTGTATTCCAATAAATTAACTGATCAAAATGTTCTTGTTATTGTTTATAATGCTACTGAGGCCGACTGATAAAGCTCCGGCTTTCAGAGTTCAAAGTTATCAGGAATGTACATCAGTAATAAACGGGTGAATGCGGGACACTGTTGGTGACGTAATACCCAGGTTTAAGATCCTCTGGAATGTTAACAACAGAATTATAGAGAGGATCTGTACTCCTACCTCATCTCTTGACTAGTCTGTTATGCAATTATAGAGTGAAGTAATTCATATGATTTTCGAGTCATTAGGTGTCGACAATTGATCTAATCATGTGCGTAGAAAGTTATCATTATGTTTTTTTAATGACAATTTAAACCCTCGTGACCCTCTAATTATCAATGAATTGATTGGGTCAAAGGCGTTTAAATGATAACTCATCTAATATAAAATCCATTGACTTTTTCTGCGAAATATTTTTTACTACACATTTCTGTGGATTAAATTATAAAGTTTATGATGAAGTAATTCATTCGGAGATTTACGATTCACTGGGCATTGACCATTATTTTAATCATCTGCGTATTTTTTCATAGAAAAAAAACAGTTTTAATTTTCAGAGACATGTCACTGATTTATTCGTAGGAATGTCTGAACTTCACACACATTTTGTAGACATTTTTCAGATACGAAAAAACGTCTGAATAAAATGAAAATTTGTCTGATTTTCAGACCAACCGGCGCCTAAACATTTTAATGCATGACGTCTGAATTTCTAGTCAGACGCTTTTTAGTGTCTGAAAAATGTCTACAAAGGCGTGTGAAATTCAGACATTAATTTTTGCTGTGTTGTCCACAATTATTACAGTGGAAATACTGTGATTTTACCACTAATTTTCAGAGTTGTATCGTTGATTTTCAGGAACCCATCTATGATTTCTGGAAATCTATCACCAAACTCCAGTGATAAAAATCGCTGATAATCAGGTTCATTCTATTCACAATAAATTTCCGAAAATCAATGACATGTTCCAAAAAATCAGAGACATGTCCTTAAAAATCAAAACATTTTTTCCTTCATGTTACTCCATTTATTATTCAATTCTTCCATTTATGTATATTGAATTTTGTGAGTTGAGTGATTCATTCAGTATTGACATGTAAACATCATAACGGAGGAATTCCGCAGGTTGAATTGCCTCCCCAACAAGACGGTAAATGGCCCGAGGATGAATTTATGCATGAATAAACCGAAGACGGCACGTTCCAATTCCCCTTTAAAAACGGCATCAAAGTGTTTACTGTTCAGAAAATTCATTTCATCTACCTCAAACCCATTCATACCGCATGGGCGTAATCCCTTCAACAGGTAAATTAATCTCTGTGACGTAAACACAAATGTTGACCCTCATGCGGCCGAGATGAGCACAAATCACGGTAACTATTATCGTTATCATCGCATACCACATGATCTCAGCATATTTCGTAGTTCCGTCCACTCACGGCTGAAATTCTGTTGAATTTCCGTTCGACAAATATACAGTTGTATCACTGAATGTCGATTTTTCTACAAAAATTATTCTGTTGGTTTTCTTTCTGCAAGAGTTGTTGAGCCCAAACTTTCCAATTTTGCTTCCCTAGAATTTTGTAATTGGAAAGAAGAATTATTACTAGAGGTAGTAGCATAATTATTTTATTTTGTGCAGTTGAAGAAACTTGAAGAATTTATACACAAGACTATCCATAGAAAAATTAAAATCTATTAATTTTTTCTACTGATCTGTTGAAAAATTGAATGGAAAAGTCAAATAATTTCAATAGAACTAGAGGTGAAGAACAAATAGAATTTTAAATGGATTTTTAACAGGAATTCAGTAAATTTCTTAGAGAATGCTCTAAGTTTTTGTGTAAGATGTTTTCGTTTCTAGGAATTTGTTTAAATTTAATCAAAGCCTGGTTCGTTCACTATGGAATGTTATTAACAATTTCGATTGATTTTTGCAGCATTATTAATTTCTATTAAAAATTCTGCAGCTTTGCCATTTATTTTCCGATATTTATATTCAACAAAAAAAATTGAATAAATGTTCAGTACACGTTATTCTGTTTTCATTTTGTTTGGGAATTTGTGCTCAAGATTTTGTCAGAAAGAATCTCAAGAGAATAATTCACGTGGAAAAACCAAAATCTATTGACTGTATAGAAATTTAATTAAATATTCTATTGAAGTTCCCGCACATCCGTGTAAATATAAAGAACTGGGACAGCGACTTAATGATATCCAAGTATTTTGATCAAACTTCTCATTGGATCCCCTTCGACTCTAAATTTCCGGCTATTTTACAATAATTTATTTTTATTATTTAAACTTTGCAGGTCGGAATTTGAATCTCGGTATTGAACCGTTAGAAATCATTTTAAAAATCGTAAAAAAAATTGGAAAGTCAACTTTTCACGAAAGATTGATGAAATAGTTTGAAAACTGAAAATTTTGAAAATCACGGGGAATTTCCTATAAATAAGTATTGACTCATATTCAAAATTTTACCAGAAATCCATTTCAAGGTTTCCGAAAGTTTAACAAATTCCAATTGTTTATTAATAATTCTGTCCAAAATGTAATTTTAATGATGCTGAAAATTTATGATTTTTTCAAATTTTCATCACGAAATTCAACTAATTTGGATATCCTTAAAGTCTTCAAAAAATGCTCCACGATATGTTCTCAAAACCCCAAGATTTCAAAGTTAAACCATAAATCAAAAATCAGTCACTTAGTCCCCGTGAATAATGGAATGAGCGGCAAGTTCTCTCTGGAGCGGGAACTTGTATGCTGGACCACCTGTTAATCTCTACTGTACGTATAGCGCATTGGTTGCACTATCCACGATAATGGCTGTTCCACAACACAAACAAAAAACATCACGTTTCGTTGCCAGTGGTTTTATCGGACTATCTGCAATAAATTGGACACTAGCAGCACTTGCTAGAGCTAAATTCGAAATATCCTTACAGGGAATTAGCAGAGTAATTACATTGGCTAATGGAAGTAGAGAATAAAGTGTAATAAAACATTTGATCTGTGCTTTTGCAAGGCTGTTTATTTTTAAATGCACGGGCTCTTCCAGTGACATTTTCCACCCTCGTGACCCTTTTGTTATCGACAAGTGGCAAAAATCAAAGGCAGCGGAAAGAAAACGCATAAAAAAAGTGCATCGAATTTTTCTATGAAATATTTTCGATTGAACATTTCTATTGATGTTTTTTTTTCAATAAATTCAAAGAAATGATTTATCTGCATGAAATGCATCGATTAATTTTGATGCGCATCAGATAAATAGTCTTTTAAATATAAATAATGCACTCACGAAAAAACTTTATAGAAAAACCTAGTGAATTAGATAGAAAATTCTATTAGGGTTCAATCGAACTTCTACTGAAATTCTATCAGTTTTTGAAAGACTCCATTGAAGGATTCCGCAGTCTAACTGCGGTTTTTTAAAATTTGAAATGGTCAATAGAATTTAGAATTTCTATAGGAAAAACTAGAATTCCATTATAAAATAGTAGATTTAGACATTTTTTAATTTTTTTTTCCACTCTACTTTTCTTCCCTTTTCATGAAAAAAAATCAAGCAAAAAACTTGGAAAATTTGAACCGAAGAGTTTCTGTAGAAAATATCTCAATAGAATAAATTGTGTGGGAACACCGAATGGTATTGCTTTTTTCATAGAGTAATTTCCATTGAACATTTCTATTGGCGAAAAATGCGCTGATATCCTGCCGACTGTTTTAAAAAATCGGCCAAAAACTAGTAAAAATGTCAAAATTTCTCAAGCTTTTTAATTATCAATGAAATTGTAAATAATCAGTGCCTAAATTTTCCCGATTTCTACTCATTTTCAGGGAATAATTGACCTGAAATTTACAGTTCCCATTGACATTTCCACGAAATTCTGAATTTTCAATGACGAAATGCCTTAAAATTGGATCCAAAATGACATAAAAATTTCCAAAAAGTGAACCCGAAATTTCAGCGAAAATTTTTTAACAGTGACTGCGATAGACTGAAATCTTGAGAGAATCATCATCTCCGTTGTTTCTCAAACAATTATAATTACTGATACACCGATAGGTATTGTGGCAACTCGTTACTGTCAGCATGTTCTCACACCCAAGCAAT